CTGACTGTTCTCCTCACTGTCAGACATGGTAGCTGATGATGTAGGCCTACTACTTTCTCTCTGGTTGAGTCTGCGATTAGATGCTTGCACCCACAAGTCAACAGCTAGTTTTGGGTCGAAAGTCCAGTTTTAAAAGGATATGTTTGGTTACTGTCCTGATTATTTCAAACCTGTTTATCCCAATAACTATAAAGGAGTGCCTTGGAAATATGTGTTTACATAAATTGTGACCAAACCGTTTGAACTTAGACTAAAGTGAACTATCTAAACCAGTGCTTGAATTGGAATGAAAAAGGTGCCAGTACTCTAAAATCAGCAACTTTTTCAAGTCAATTTTATATATACAGCCCACAAACAAGAATTTGGCTACTATAATGCTGGTGGGTTTGTCTCTTTACTACTGTATATTTTAGAAAGGTTCACTGTACTTAACATTTGTTATGATAGGCAGCGGATATGGCTAAAGCTCAGTAAGGTCAATATTAACTGAAAATATAGCAATCAAAGTCTAGATCTTCTGCTGAAGACACATGAAGCAGAGATCTTTCAGGTGAGAGCCCCTCTGGTGGTGTTCAACATTAATGACAAGGAAACAAAGCTCTGGTCAGAAGCATTTTTTATAAAAAGCTTTAACAAAATTAAGTATTTCTGTACATTTTGAATGTAATCTAACTTTCCAACTCAGAAAACGAAAAACGAAAAAGTGCCAAAAGTCTTCTCACATGGCTGAGCTGCTTTGCAATATACTTCACCACTGAAGAATACAAATATGTATAAAGTAAACTATGATGCAATCTAACTTTCCAACTCAGAAAAATGATAAAGAGCATGAACAAAGAACATGTAAAAACAAATGCAAAATTTGCACAATCTAAAATGAGAAACTGTAACTGCAAGTAACAAAGTCTGAGCCATGGTAAAGAGTTACATTGAACACCAAGCTGATCAGATAACTCCCTGGTTGGTCTGAAGTCCTTCTATCTCCAGGATCTGTACAAATCGGCACATTATGCCAAAAGTCTTCTCACTGGGTAAGCTGCTTTGCAATATACTTCACATTGTTAGAAAAGGCTCCAGAAGGCCTTGGGGACATCAGTATCAGGGGCTGGAGCTGGACAGGCTCTTTCATCAGCACTTCTCCTTCCCTTTGCCAGCCAGGACCTCACATACTGTTCCGGATTGAACTGTCCTAGTGATGGTCCATTACATTTAATGAAAACCAGGCTGGACAGTCGGCTGACAGAGAGAGCATTCCTTTTTGCAGTAAGGATATCGTTCATGCAGCTGAATGCCCGCTCACACTCACTAGTGGAGACAGCGATGGTTCGGACTGCTTTCAGTAGAGGCTCCATGGCAGCAGGTGTACGGGATGCCCTGGTTTCCTTGTATTCGCGAAAGCCCTGAACAGTCTCTCTTCTGTCCACTTTCAGCACTTCGCACAAACGTAGCACCTCTACGTCCCCATACTGTACGTCTAACTCCTCTTCAGGCCAACTTCCAGGATGGATAACTTTCATGTCCTGGATTAGCTGATTGTCCCGGGCCTCCCGGCCATGTAATGGGATTTCTCTTGTGCTGACATGAGAGGAGGTTGTGGAAGTCATTCTGTGTCTCAGATGCTCTACCATACTGCGGAAAAACTGACCTGCATGAATCTGTACAAGCCTGCCATTCTCACGCAGGGCAACACCCTTGAAGGACTTCTCAGCTAGAGCTGTATGAACTGTAGTCATGTGTGGGCCAGGCATGGTGACCATGGATTCAAAAACTCGTATTTCTCGAGTTAAGAGCCTATCTGCTGTAGGCAGTGTCATCTCTCTTTTTTGGAGTTGCCGAGAGAGGTCGCTGAGCTCTGTGAGCGCATCGTACATCAGTCCCAGATTGCTGACAAACGTTGCAGATGTGAGCACATCATCCAGGCCCTTGTACTTTGCTCTATCTCTGGAATCCCTGCTCGTGTCGTTTGCAGCATTTGTGAAGTGATCATGAAGCACTCGGTAGTTTTCCCAGACTGCTCTGACGCTCCTTTCACTTGAAGCCACCCAGCGGATGGACAAAACACGCCCTATCACCAGGAGACGCTGTCCGACTGCTTGCGCACACTGCGCTAACTGCCTCTGATTTTTGGGGGAGGCATGGAACAAGGAATAGAGTTTGTCAAAAAAGATCTGGAAATGATTGAGCCCTGAGACCTCCTTGACCACATCCCCAACTGCCAGCTCTAGACGATGATTGGAGCAGTGCCACACAAACAGGCGTGGGAATTTACTACACAACTGGGTAGCAACGCCTGTTCTCTTCCCTAGCATGACTGAAGCCCCATCACATGCAAAAGAAACGAAACACTGACCTAAAAAGTCCTCGTTAAAATCTCTTCCAAGACACTCCATTAACGCCTTTGTGATGTCATCAGCCGTTGTTCCATCCAACTCGATCAGCTCCCAAAAAAACGTTTCGGGCTCAGCATCAGCTAATGCTGAGCGTAGACACACAACAAGCACCGTTTTACCACTAATAGTGGTAGATTCATCGACCAAAACACAGAGTTTTCTTTGGTTTTCTGTAATGTCTTTTGCCATTTTTTTCTTCAGCTCATGAGCTATGTGGTCGATGATTTCGCCACAGGTTTTATTGGAGTGCAAAACCCTGCCCACGTTCAGCCCATTCAGTTTCTGTACATTCAAATCAATTGGCATGTCTGTGAATGGCCGGCTATGTTTGCCAATTGTATATGCCGTTCGAAAAACTCTGATAGTGGTGTCTAATTTAGATTTATGCATAGACTGCACTTGATGTTGAATAGTTTCACGTGAAGCAGATGTAAGGATGGCAGCAGCTTTTACATGGGCTTGTGATTCTTTATGTTCTTTGATTTTTTTTTATCAGGCTAGCTTGTTGTTTGCCCTTGTCAACACCGAAATGAGACACTGCACACTCACCCCATTCAGTTGACAGTGTCAGTCCTTGTCCAGTGTGTATTCCCAAAGATTTGACATCTCTGCATATCCGACATCCTAGCTTCTTATCTTTAAGAAGGAGCCATGCATTGGTCTTGCAAAAATATTGCACCTGGTCCGTTGTCCAGCAGTCAGGTGCATCGCTTTGCCCGGTGTTGGTGGTGGCAGTTGCGCCAGCAGCAGCTAACGTTAGAGGCTCTGGAGGAGGCGGCGGAGCTAGTGCTAATGCTAATGCACTAGAACTTGGAGCAGGAGGATCAACCAAAGAAAGCTCCCCATCAGACACAATTTCCAACACAGGCACAGCATTCTCTGTATTTGAAGTTTCTTCCGGCGACAACCGCTGTCTTTTTGCACTTTTATTAATCCACGCTAACATTTTAGAAATGCTAATTTGTGACGTGACTTGCTTTCCTTCTCTCGGGGGCGTGCCTGCTCTGTTCTATCACTCTACATAGCCACCCACTGGGTGGGAGTTGCACTGCATAAACACAACACACGTGCATCTAGGTATGTAAATTGTAAAGCATTAAAACATGGTTTTACTAACAGTTTTCAGTATGTTGTTACTTCGGCATTATTATTATTATTATTTTGAAACGTGTATTACTATTAAATCACGGTCAAATAGGTTAATTTTGACATAGTCGTTTCCACCACAGTATTTACATGGAGAAGATAAGCCCCGCCCCCTCTCCAGCACGTTCTGTTTGAATGACAGGAGTAAACAGCTGACAGCCGCTGTGAAACTCCAGCGGTTAGAGCGATGAGAATGTCCGTTCGGCACCTCATGACCCATCTACTGAGTACCGGGCGGCTGTATATATATATATGGATGTATAATAAGAACGGCGGGAGAGTGTTGAGTACTGGCACGGTGCATGAGTACCGGAGTACCGCCAGCATGCCGGTACTGAGCAAGAAGTGCCGGTACTCCATGGGTCAGAACCAGAAGTGCCGGTACTGCGTACCGGTGAGTACCGGCCCAATTCCAGCACTGATAAACACTCAGAGTCCTTTACCTCACTGAGCTGTAGTTATCAGTCTCTCGGTCTAACTGGAGAGGACTCTCCCTCCACATTATTGTAGAAACATCTTCTTCTTATATCCGCAGCTTCTAATAACCAGATTCTAATAACAACAGCGCCGGTACCGGTGCACCCTCCCTCGCTCACTCGCACTTTGTCTGCGGGTGCCAGATAAACCAACATCCCTCATTTTCATCACTTACAGCGCCCATCGTACAGGGCAAATGAAACGTGTAACCGGGTTGAAAAGGGTGTTACATTTACTTAATTATGAATGTTGTTACATCAAGGCCGAAAATTAGGATGAGCACCAACGGTCAAAAATGTTTTTTTCCCTCCCAGCGCAGCGCCTCCCCAGATCTGGCGCCCTAGGCGAAAATCAACGCCAGTGCGACTTGATTGATTGATTGAAAAGTTTATTAACAGCTTGTATATTGGGTACAGTACAGTACAGCTCAAAACATACAATTGTTAAGGGGATGCAGACCAGAGAAAGACTTTCGTCTTGTTTACATCAGGGTCCCCCATTTCCAATTCAACAGGCCGGCCCTGAGTTCATATGCAACTCGCAAATATCTTTCTCTCTCTCCTCTCTTCTCTCTTCTCTCTCCCTCTCTCTCAATGTTGGTACGCAAATGCGCCTTTTTTCAAATGACTCGGTGCTCTTTTTTTGGCCGAGGTGCGCATGCGCACCTGCGCACCAGTTATGTGCAGCCCTGCTTATATCATTAGATTGTTATTATGTATATGAAAGTGTATTTAACAGCTGGTTGAGGTGGAATTCGTTTAAAATAATTTTTCGTCGGACTGCAAATCATAATTACTTTAACATTTTGAAGATCAGCCCCCTGCCCCAAGCTATCAAAAAAAAAAAGGTTAAAAAATCCCTCACACATAACATGAACTAAACAGTTAAATGGCATAGATTATGTCTCCATATTCATCACACACCTAGATTATACACCTGAACAAACCCGCATTCGCACACACAACAAATAAGGAGAGGAAATCATGATCAGGTCCAAAATATAAATATGACTTTATTTCACAATCCCAAAAAGAGATCAGCCATCCATATAAGGAATGCTAAATGTAGCCTCTTCTCAAGTCTAAACTGGATATACTTTCAGCAACGTACAGTAATTCAGTTTCAAAATAAGCAAGAGCATCCATTATCTAAACACCATTAACAGTACAGTAAGAACAATATGGTTCACAAAACATATTTACACATTTTCTACTAATAAACGTTTTTTAAAAGATTTGTAATGCTGGTGCTAGTTGTTAGTTCCTTGTTGATACAAATACTTTCAATGTAGATTGAGAACGTCCCCACAGTCAGTCAAAAACATTTGTAACTTTGTCATGTTGGGTTCAACATTTTTAAATCCACTGATTTAAGAACTGTTTACATTCATTTCACTTTGTGTGTGTGTTGTGATTTTTTGAAAATTGTTGCAGATTTTGGTTATTAGTGGAAGACATTTGAGGGCTAGAGGAAAATCGGCACAATCATTCGATTTTTTTCACTGATAATTAAAAAGTATCATGATCAATGGTGGAGATAGAAATGCATCTCCGTCTGTCCGAAAAATAAAAAAACTACCTTTGTATTGAAACATACATCAGATCAGTGTAGAGTTGTATAAAAGCACCATGACACCAATGTACAGTATATAACCATGTCAAGTCAATGTTGTCCTATTAGCACCAAACGGAAGTAAAAGTGTTTGAAAGACCAACAAGTTTCTCAAGAAACATTATACCAGTGTCAGTGTGAATATCAGTGAAAGGTCATTATCTCTTGTGCTATAATTTAATTGCTGGGTTTTAAAAACAAATAGCTTCTGTTTCACCGGTAATAAAAAAGATCCTGATTCACCAGGAGTTGACACTAACCCCCTTATTTTGACCCTGTAAGGAAAAGCTCTCTGAAAACAAAGTCTTCACAAAGGTCGAGCACCAAAAACCATCTTCTAGTCTGAGTGGAATCTGATGTTTGAGTGGTTTTCCAACAAAAGCAGAGCGGAAGAGAACAATAAACTGATTATTCAGACACTGTTGTACATGATTATGGACATAAAAAACGGCGACATATCAAACACTTAATGAATAAGTAGGTCTTATAAGCACCATCAAGTACGTTTTTGAAATCCTATAATCACACTTGTGATTTTTTGAAATAATTTTCCAGAAGGTGAAAATAAGTTAAGTGCTAATAATGGTAAGCACCTTACTGTTGCAGCATTTCACGATTCCTCAGTATGTAAAGTTTAACATTTCCTTAGATATGTAGGCCATTTTCAACAAATTTTAAATGAAAAATACTGTAAAGATAAAACCAGGATCATGCTAAACTGTCATATATCTCTATCTGTACATACATATTTAGGCCTAAAGATTGGGACCTTTTCAAGTTAAGTTTAAAAAAATAAAAAAAGTGCTTCTTAATATGCCATACAAATCTGTGAATAAAAAGAAAAACATCCAGACATAAAGAAAACAAATCAACAAAGAAGAACATTTCTTTCATCGACTGCCACCTGAAGTCAGAGGCAGCCGAATGTGACAATCTGTAGTTACTATAAGCACAATATTAGTCCTGTTTCTACATTATGTGATGTTATGGTGTTAAGCAGGTTTTACAGTGAGAATGGCACCAACTTAGAAGCCAATGAGATTCATCTTATGAAAAGCGAACTATTGGCTAAAAAAAAAGAGCAAATTCCTACTGTACAACGTGAATTCTGAAAACACAATGCAGGTTATCATAGAAATCTTGCAGTAAACAGACTTGCACCAGGAATTAAATAGAAATCGTTATGATCAGAATAAATAATCACATCTTTTTTGTTCTTAATCATGAATATAAAACCAGTTTAAAAACGTCTTAGAAATGCTTCAAAGCACCATCTCTTTACAATAAAAACACAGAAACTCACAGTTAAAAAAGCCAACCAACTTTGGTCTTCCTCATCACTTTGAAAGCAGAGACCAAGAAGGGCAAAGTCAACAAACAGACTCTAGAAAAGCACAATGAAAACAACTTTAAAAAATGAGAGTAGCAGTTTGAAGTTGAATGAGGTAAGGCAGAAGCACAGGGTGTAGAAGTGTAGAAGTTTCTTTGTGTGTGTGAGTGTGTGTGTGTGTGTGTGTGTAACACATGTCAACTAAGTCCAGCGATTGTAGGGGCCCGTCACTTGGGTAAGAGCATAAGGGGACACGGTGACAACACCATCCCTCGGGAGAGTCCAAGCTTGTCGTGTGGGGACATGCATTGTCCTCTTTGTCCCCTCTGCATCCTCCCCTGTTCCCTCTTCTTGCTCCACACCTCCTTTTCCGTTATTCCCCAGACATTCCTCCATCCTTAATCTCTCGGCCTCCTCCTCCCGCTCCCTCTCTCGCTTGGCCATCTTTGCATCCCACATAGCCATCCCGTGCCCTGGTTCATTCAGAGACTTGTGCTGGTAGAAGACCAGGGAGATGCGCGTGGGATGGCTGCGGTCGGGCCTGAGGATTGGGGTGGTGGCGTGGAGCTCCCGCCGCGCACACTCTATCAGGATGGAGCCGTGTGCCGGTGCCACCGCGACTCCGCCTATGTCACGGTCCAGGAAGTTGTGCTCGCTGTCTGACCACACCTCTTCCTGCTTCAATTCCTCTGGTTCAGGCGGGGGAGTCTGTGGGGGAAGGGGGAGAGAAGAGAGTGGAGGAAAGCCATGACCCCTGACCTCTGCAGTGACATCTCCAGCAGCCCTGTGGAGTCCATTGAGCCTGCTGAAGAGGCCCTCAGAGGTAGGTCTGGGGGAGAAGGAGGGGGGAGGAGGAGCACTCCCACTGGGGGAGGGTCTGCGCAGAGGAGAGCAGTGCACCTCGTTTGGCTCAGTTTTAAAACCATGGGGGAAGCCACTAAGGGCATTATGTGGAGGCATATGTACACTCTGCCCACCAGATGCTGAAGCATAACCATTCACAGCATCACTCACTGTTTTATAATTAACAGCTGAGCCATTCTGTCCAAACTGGCCGCCAGGCAGGCCATGGTGGTTGGGGGGGATGACCTCCTTCTGTGGGGTGACCCCTGCACCCGAGGTGGGGTAGCTGCTGGTGCTCTGGTTGTAAATGCCGGGTTGATTCCTCTCCTGTGGGTACCGTCCATCGCTGGCAGGCCTTGGAGGCAGTCTGTACGAGCTGGAGAAGCCCTGTGGCTCTGTTTTGGAAGTAGAGAATACAAGTATTTATAAAAAGCTGATGTATGAATCATCAACATAACCTTTTGACCTCAATGTCCAACTATTAAAATACATTAACCACATGATTTAATACCTTTGCTGGGGGTGTCGTTCTTCACTTTCCCAGGAGTTTGGGGAGTCAGCCCGAGCTTCTTCTCCAGCTTCCCTGCTTGGGCCTTCAGACGAGCTTCTTGCCTGATCTTACGGGCTGATTTCACTGGCTCAGCCAGGAGACGCACCTAAAGAACACAACAAATATATAATCAACGATTTAAAACATCACTCAGGTTACTGTTTTGAAACGTTTTACCTATTAGCATTTTTCACATTGTATGAACAGTGAGCAAAGCAAATACCATTTGTTTTTAACAAAAGCAAACAAATACAAGGTTATGGGGGGATCAGTAAATCAAGGTACATTTTAAATAGACTATTGCACCGAGTACACAATTATGTCTCATTTGCTTTTAATAAGCAAACTATTGGAGTTGTAGGATGAAGTAATTTTTTTATAGAAGATGGTGATGCTTAACAAAAATTATAGAGAGGCCAACAGTGGCCCATTTTTCTGAAGTCAATGTTATATAATAGCCTTTTTTACTTGCTGCCAGCAAGATCTTTAGAAAGTACAGTAGGCATACTATTGTGTTTTGCTTGTTTGAAACAAAGTACTCAAACCACTGACAACATAACAATAAGAATAAATAGCAAAAGCTGCTTTCTTACTTCTCTGGGAAAGGCGGACAGAACTTGCAGAGCACCGCTCCGCATCTTGGTCCACTGACCCTCAACCTGACCAAACTCGTCCCTTGCGGAGACTCTGTAAAGTGGCAGAACATGGAGCTGCTCATCTTCTGGTATGTTAGGCACTGCCCGGTTATCTTCCTTGGTTAAAGTGCAAACCTGAAAAAGGGCAAACACAAAAGGCAAGTTGTTCAAACAAACAGTAGACCATGTCCAATCAATCCCTTAAGATGTAATCACATGATACAGTAGATAACATGGAGTCACACTCATAGCATGCTCACCACAGTGCTGCCGTTATTCATGTTGTGAGTGTCCTTGTGAGCATGGGCACAGAAATCCACACAGGCTGTGACCCCAGAGAAGGGACAACCCTCCTTCCGACCCAGACGGCAGTCATTCCCTGCCGACTCATTCTCCACCTATGAGAGGTGAAAGGACAAGACGTTGTGAAGAGGTAAAAGATTCAAAGCAGGTCATTTGAAAATAATATAAATAGTCAGCCTAAAATAGTGTGTCAGCTGTTTACTGTTTCATACCTGGTTTTGGAAGGCCTCCGGAGCCAGTCTTTTGTAGAGGGGTGCGAGGTCAGAGGCGAGATTCTGCAGGTTGTTCTCTATTTTCTCCTCCTAAAAGTAATGGACAGATTTAAGAGCATTTGGAGTGAATAACAGCTCATTAAAAAAATACCGGTGTGATTTTCATAGCCACTCGGAGTGGAGTATTTGGAAAACATTTGATTATTATGTCCGCCTTTCCTACGAATACAATTCACATCACTACAACAGGACAAACAAACAGAAGAAATTGCACTAGATGTTTTCCACTAGGGTTTTTGGCAGTAGACCACTCTCTCACCTCATCCCGGTCGTCTCCAAGCAGGCGGAACTTGCGCGGAACCTTGCTGCGGGCAAACTTACAGCCATTGAAGTACATACTCCAGGAGCAGCCGAAAGAAAATGAAGCTCCGCATGTGTCCTGGTCCAAACCCTGGCAGGCACATGTTCGACTGTGGAGACGGAGTAGCAGGAGGAGGATGATGAAACGAACCAAAGTTGGGAAGAAATTGTGTAATTGCAAAACAAAGAAAGAGGTACTCACTCCTCATTGAGGGCGCAGCGGCGGCTGGTGGGGGAGCCGTATTTAAAGAGGGACTTTGTGAGCTCCTGGTAGAGATTGTCTGCCACCGGCCGAGCAATTCCCTCCCACGCCAGGATGAGGATGACCAACACGGCCGTTTCACAGTAGTGCCCCGGCCTCCGGCGGACCAAACACAGCAGCTTCTCCTGTTCACTGCTACGCCGGACCACCTGTCAGATGATGGTGCATAAAAAAAATACAAGCTGATAAACAACAGCAATGAGGAACAGACAACAAGATACCAGAAGGGTAAGAATCTGGGTTAACTTCCGTCTCTGATGGGAACTACAAGAACCCTTCAATATAAAGTAGGGCTGCTCAATTAATCGTATTTTAATCGCGATTACGATTATGGCTTGCAACGATTACGAAAACAACGTAATCGAAATAAAACGATTATTTTTTTATTATTATTATTATTACTTTTTCTTTTTTTTGTCAGTTGAGTTATACTTAAAGTTCAGGGTAATCAACTGTTAAAAACATACTGTTCACATTTTTTTCTCCAATAAATGGATATTTTCAAAGTCAATGAATAATCGCATTTAATAATCGCAATTACAATTATTGACCCAAATAATCAAGATTATGATTTTTGCCATAATCGAGCAGCCCTAATATAAAGAACACATATTCGGGACATTTAGGAACTACAACTACAAAAAAAAACAACATAAGCTACATACCCATTTTGCTATTGGACACCCCTGGGAGCTCTTTCCTTCTTTCCCAGTGTAAACAACAACTTCCAGCCTGACTGCATTTCCTTTGGCACCATATCTGTAACACACATAGGAGAAACGATAAGGTTGTGCTTTTGAACTCAGAGCATATCACACTGGCAACATCACATTGTTATCCATACATTAGGGCAACATATATGGACAATCAATATATCAAATAAAAAAAATGCATATGTAGTAATCATCAGTGGAAGAAAACATATTAGGATTGTGTATTCCTTGTAGTCATTGTGCAGTAAAATGTCATGTATATCATTTTATATTTAGTAGTTTAGATTCATTTGACTGCTGCATTAATGTGTGAGATATTTAGAGCTGTACTAATTATATCTTCTTTATATATAGTTTAATCTACAGCAATGCATCATATTCTAAAGATCATCATATGTCTTTGTCGCTGTCCTGTGAGAACCACGTACCTTAAAAAGAAACAGCCCTGTGCTTTGTATCTTTGTGTCAATACCTACCCAATAAACTGGTCACAAATGTATTGAAGTGGGGGAAAAAAATGAGTTCCCTCTGAGATATTAAACATTTCTATAAAATGTGTTTCATACAAAATAAATACTCAAATTGGTTTGATTACAACTATGTCATTAAATGTCTCAATGAGTGCAGAATGACGTTTCTTTTGTCTGGTTTTCAGATGGACTGAAATGGACATCAAGATGTTTTAAACGGGCTTCCATCGTGGTTTACGGCCTCTTGTCTCAGCTCTAGGGGTTTCCTGTTTCAACATGTGTGTATCTGAGACAGAGGATACACGTATTGAGCTGGCTCAGCAATGCTTCCTTTTAATGACAGACTCTGTCCCACCCCATTCCACCAAGACCATGGCTCACTAGTAAGGTCTTTGCATGTTTGCTAGAAAGCACACCCACATACACAGTGTAAACAAAGTTGTAGTCACTCTACCTGTTCTCCATCAGTTCCCTCACTGCAGGAACAGTAGGCCCTGCCCCAAGGTGAGTATAGTAAGGGCCTTCCTCCTTTTCAATGATCTGTTCTGTGGACAGAAAGAATCAAAAACAAGATGTATCAGATATCAAAGCAACTTTATCAGGTTTAGAAGTGTCCATCCAATGTGGTGTTGGTATATTTTTGGGAAACGCTCCTGATAAAGAAGTCAGATTAATTAAATGTAAAGGTAAAATACACAGTAAATGCATCTGGATCTCAGTTCAGGGGCCACCACTCTGTATGTTCGCATTTCAAGACCAAATACATCATAACAGCTCAACATGGCTCAACAAAGCACCGCAAAGAAATGTGGCCTCCTTTTGCTTGAATTGGCCCATGAATTAGAACACAGCATGTGTGTGTGTGTGTGTGTGTGTGCGTGTGTATGTGTGTGTTTGCATAAGAAAAAGAAAAACAGGTTGCAGTATTGCTCCAAAGCCAACATTAAGGGTACATTTAACCCCAAAGTGGAATTTATCTAATTATGTGACACTAATGCAAATGCTACACACTTTTCTTCTCAAAGGTTATAGGAAGAATAACTCACCCACGCATTCACAGGATGGAAGATCAGCAAGTTTTTTGGAAGGTGTATTTAGCAAGTTCTTGGTAGGGGTATCCAAAAAACTCATAGGAGACTCCAGGAAGCTGTTGACGTTGTTCTTGGAAGGAGTTGTTTCTTCAGACTGGCTCTGAACCCCGTCAGTACTAGTGGACAGGATAGTGACAGGTCCTGCCCTCTCCAGCTTGTAGTAGCCCTGCTGGCTCGGAGGAGGGGACTGCCGGCCCCCCGAGAAGCCATTGGACAGTCCATGGTTTCCAGATGAGTGGCTGAGGAAAGGGTTATTGGCGGCACTGGTGTTCGGATCAGCGCCGTGATGCACTCCCTGAGAAAACAAATGCCTTTCATAGTCCAGCCCAGCATGACCGTTGCATGGATTGTGTTGGTGGAGTGGACCGTTAGAAAGTGACCATGGGTGTTGTTCTGGACCGGTGTTGTTAAGCCTTGTGAGAGGGCTGTAGTTGTGAGTCTGCGGCCCGAGGTGGGCTGCACTGTGTGTGTTACTGTGATGGATGAGTTGCCTCCTTTCCTCCTGAGCCTCAGCCAAGTATCTGTTCAGGTCGATTTGAGCCTGAGGCAGAAACAGGTTCCTCTTGTGGTGAAGGACTGGTGTCCCCTGAATCTTCTGGCCTCTCCCCCTGGAAATCTCTCCATTTGGCGTGCGTTTTGAGAGGGGGGTCCGGCAGTTGATTCCCTCATTAGGTCCATCACTTTTTTTCTTCCTGGGCTTGGAAGGCGTTGCTCTTGTTTTTTTCACGGGGGGCTTTTTCTGACTGGGGGATATCTGGCAGTTGTAGTTGTATTTGATGGCTGACACAGGTGTTCCTTTCTGAGGGTTTTTCTCCGAGTGCTGGTTGTGTCGAGACTGGATGATGAAGGCCAGGTCTGCCAGCTGAGCTGCCACCTCCTCCTCCTCCTCTCTGTTCCTCCTTGCTTTACCAACAACCCTGTCTCTGTCCTCCGCGAACAATCGCTCATGATCTTTACTGACTCTCATGTCATTGGGATATTTATAGCTGCATTCCGACTTGATGACATGAGAACCAAAGCCCGGCTCTGTCTTCCTACAGGGTGCTTTATCTCTGTCTGAGCTAGCTTCTAAGAGATCGTGCAGATACAGCTTCGCGTTAGACCCCTGGGAGCACTGGATGACGTTTCTTTGTCTGGCCACAGGAGGGCGTATGACTGATGTCTGGTGCAGTGGCGAGCTGATGACCGACACTTTGTTGTAGCGAATAGCTGGTGTGTGTTTGACGTCTTGCAGGGTTGTATTTGTGTTGGAAGTGCTATGTTCACACATACGTTCAGTTTTAATGGAACCTGCGGGGCTCTGAGGTATAGCTGCCAGTTGAGTCAAGGCCTCAATAGCAATAGCCTGATCAAAACTAAGATTTCTTCTCTCTGCCAAAGACTGCACGCTCTGTTGCAAGACACCTTGAGTAGGTTCACTTTTAATGTATTGCGGATTCCTTTGCAGGCAAACAGGAGTGCTTTTCTGAAACAAGTCATTCTGTAAGTCCTCTGGCTCTTTTTTGACAAAGTACAAATCTGGTGGCTCTGTTTTGATGGAGCAAAGAATGGAGGACCGTGAGCTGAAAAGTTTCTCCTCCAGTCCTTTTCTCTCTGTGACAGAAAGACACACCACGGCCGCCAGCGTGGACAGCGGGTCTTCGCAGACCTCGTCTTCATCGCTCAGCTGTTTGGTGGGCTGTTCAGGGATCCACATCCACGGTTCCTCTAGTTTGATCTTCTTTAGTGGAACTGACATGTTGTCCGGAGAAGTCTTGGGTCCATTCTTAGGGCAGTCTTTAGGAGTTGTAGCAATTATAGTCCTTTGAGGCTCTGATGCATTAGTAGTCCATTTGAAAGCAGACTTCAGATCAGAGTGTGACCCAGTGGTCATATTAGCACCGTTAGGTTTTGTCAGGTTCTCAGCAGAACCATTCTGAAAATTAACAGAAGAGCATACATGCTGGTGAAGTGCATTGCTGGTCAGCTCCAGCCCGGACTCTCTTTTGACAACTGATGATGGCCGTCCGCCTTGGTCCGAGGCCGGTTTGTGGGTGATGGTGGGAGCTTGTGTATGAGGTATGTGGCCTTCCTCCCCTTCATCCTCCTCTGCTTCCGTGTGGGTGTCTTCCATCTGCGCTTTGGCTTTGCCATTTACCGACCCACTTTCTGGAACCACCTGAGACAGAGAGAGAGAAACAAGAGGAGAGAGGTGACTCAACAAGTTCTGGCAGTATACAGTGATTCAACTTGTTCTAAACAGTCACGCCACACAGCACAACAGATTGCATCCCAGCATGGCATGAGCATCCGCTGCAGCCACTATCGAGGCGGTGGAAAATATTATGACGTGAAAACAAATAATCTGCTTTCTATAAATCTTGCTGAAACTGATCTCTTAACAGAAATAATACAAAAGTGAAGCTGTGTTAGTCACAGTCGAGGCCTCAAACAGGGAAACATGTATGCATGAGCGGCTGAGTGTAAAGCGCTGTGGATCCACAGGTAGCCGAGTGCCAACAAGTAAACAGTCACGCACAGTTCATGATTACTTCACTAGGATCACTGAGGGCATTTGTAGGTGTGTTCCCGGGCTTGTATGCAAGCACATGTGATTATTAACACAGCATCCCGACCATGTTAACCCCTGTGCATTGTTCAGTGAGTGATTAACCCACTCAGGGTCTAATCCAGACACAGCACAGCTTGACCCTTTGGCTAAGACGGATTCTGACTGCCAGCAAAGCTACGACTATCCAAAGGTCCACAGTATTGACATTTTTTTTACCTCCATGAAGAAGTGGAAACTTAATATTTTAAACTTTCGTAATTGTTCGACAATTATAGACATAACTCCATAAACAGGAATAAGATCAATTGATTTAGGAAAAAGTAGAAGCGAAGGCAGTTTACAAAGTACACATGTTATGGTGTATAATGTATTTATGTTTGTATGTAGTCATGTAAGGCTCTGTATGGACTGTTGCAAGATATTTCCTTGAAAATAGACAATAAAGACTCTATCTAAATTAAGGAGCACAAAACAAACCTGATAAAAATCTAGCCAAGATACAGTGTTTCTGTAACTAAATATACAAATGTGCTTTTCATCATCTTGAGTGAGCATATAATCAACAGAAGTCAAATAAAGCTTTTTATTTGAGGACTTAACCCCACATCAAATTGAGAACTAAAGCCTTCAGCATTAGAAGACTGATTAGAAATGTTGCAGCGTGACAAAGATACAAAAAAAAAGACATCATGTGCCAAGACTCAGCTCACAAAAGGCTCTTAAATTGTAGAAGCTGGAGGATATACAGCACACCCTAAAACGTCATTCAGGGGACCTTTTACCACCACTTAATTAAATGCATGGTTGCAAGATACAAATTTGAATTAATTGATTTAGATAAACATTTTAAGTTGCAAACATTAATTTCTAAGTTGTGTTGACGTAATAATGTTGGTAATTACATCAACTTAATATTGTGTGTAATTTGAACTCTGATTTCTGCGTTAATTGACTTAAAACTAAATTCAAGTTGTAGTAAGTAATGCAATTGGCTTGATAACTTAATTGTTCTACACCAGTTAAGGATTTCAAGTCCACTCCAACTTAACTTGCCTGGACAAGTTCCCACAGTTAAGACAAATAGAAATATACAAAGGACATTTTAAGGTGAGTGTCATCTTTTGTCATTCAAATACAGATAGCCTTGTAGTTGCACTGTATAGACAGATTACTGTTGGACCAAAATTAGCAGCCTTTGAACTGTGAATAGTTCTGTGAGAGGATACAAAGTAGTAGAGGCTACTGTGAGCGTAAAAATACTTAGGTTACTATTGTGATATAATGTTTTATTAAAAATGAATCTCGGTGAAGCAGATCAAGGACATGCTTCTTGAGGTAGGATCGTTATTTAGAGTTGTCATTGAAATGCAAGTTGTTGGCAGTCACCCATTCAGAATATATTCATTTAGGTAATTTCTCTTTTTTACCTTTTTCAAAAATAGCACAATACAATTGAAGTATGCAGAGAACTATAGCCATCTGCTGCTTTGTCGTGTACCTTGGAGAAAAGGAAGAGGACCTTTTCAAGGAGTTTAGCGACGTAGTTAAAAATCTTGAAATAAAATAAAATCCATGGGCCCAGTGTAAAAACACAGGACAAAAGCACTGCTCTCTGTCAGTTACATTTTGAAGCATATTGCACTTTTGGCCACACCCCAATCAATAATATCTTAGCAACATTCAGCATGGATAGGTGTTGACAGCAATGGCATGGGAAAAGGATTGTGTACAATTTGAAAAGTGGCTTCTGCTCTTCACAGTTCAAATATTGTAAGGAACCTGCTAAAAAGACGAGAAGGTACACTAAAACTTGCACGGTTGTGATTGAAAAAATCTGTCCACATGCATTTAAACACTAGGCAAAGTACTCAAAAGCACCTCTGTGTGTCTTCAGGACCACATTGCCATGACGACACACACATGCAGACTCAATAGGTGAAAACAATACCAGCGTTGCTTGAGCAGCTGGTAATAATGGCTCTGAATTAGCTAAGAGTTTAAAAAGTATGCAATTACCTAATTCATTATCTCTTATGCGCTAACCTATTATTTAATGTGCTTCAAAAGGACATGAATATCGCCTTCATCAGTGACCGGTCCACCCCAGGATCTGACCACACGATGGCAACCATCGTGGTCGAGGGAAACAAATGAATAAGCAAGCATTCTGCGTTAAATGTGTTCATACTGTTTGAAATAATGACTGTCGGCAGTGTAAACATCTTTGTTACATCTTTTGTCAAATGGATGTGTGTGATCTGCAGATTGGTGGCCATTGAGAGTTTGTTTCTGTAGTTTTACAAAAACTTTACAGATTTTACATATTTGGCACTGGTTTTAAATATGCAAAGGCCTCTAACTTCGTTGTGATGGCAGCATTTATTTGCTGTGTCCCCATGTCCCATGGTAATATGGCTAATGTGTTTATTTATTATTTGTGGGGCAATTTAAATTTGTGTTATTTATCTTTTTTCTTTCAAGATTGAAATGAAGCTCAGCGCAAGTTCTTTCAGGAAGACTGGGTGTATACATTCACTCTGCAGCTGCATATAATCAGCTTATCACAGGCGTTCTCTTTAACCTATTAAATTTCACCTCATTCTCCAGCAGCCAATCAACGTGCTGCAGCCAAACTATAAAATGGTTCTCCTCTCTCCTGCAGTCAGCTGTGATTTCAGGTGTTCATGCTGCCGCTCGCCTCCTCCCCATCCACCTCCTCTCATCATATCCAGTGCCAGAAGAGCTAATCCAAAGACCTCATCACATCTTCATCCCATCTCCTCATCAAATGACCCTGGGGGGGTTCCCTATATGCTCACGGCTGCATTTCCCCCTTTAGATATACGATTTCAGGATCGGGGTCTAATCGCCAAAGACTTAACATTTATCATATGACATGTGTCAATAAATGTTCAAACAAAATGAAGTCTCTCCTGATTGAAATATCATGTGTTGAAATAAACAACTGCAGTTCAAAATAAAAAAGTGAATTGCCTAACATTTTTGTTGTGGAATTAATGCATTTCTTTCTTTAAAGGCAAACACATGAAAAAGCTAAAACTACTGAATACAATATATTTGGAGCAACTTAATTTATAAATGGTTGTCAACTTAAAAACTTGTGTTCACAATGATGGTAATTAAGTACATACAACTTGAAATTCCTTTTAAATAATGTGGTAAAACTAGTTGGAACAACATGATCTTTGGAGTAATCAACTTAAAAACTTGTGTTTATTCTACCAATTATTAAGTAAGTGGTAATTAAAAACACCTCTGATTGTAGAGGAAAAGCCTTCTCCCCTAACTCAAATAAGTGTGTTGGTTTAACACAATTTCATTAGAAGTTGTCATAACTCAATAAACATTGATGCAAACTGTTGCGTGGATTTTCTTTGTTGAGCCAAAGCATTTGTTTTTAGAGTGTATGTGCATTTCTGGGATCTGTGTGTACTGTATGTTTATGCGAGTGTGTATGCATTTTTCCTTTAATGAACTTGCACAACTAGATAGATAGATATTGTATATCCGGCACCCATTAAACTCCATCACTTTCACTGTTTTAATCTATTCTGCAGCAGGAGATGCACTTAAAGTTGACAGATCAAGCCGCAACAATACTTAATATAATAAAAAACAGATTTATACGAACAGACAGACCAAACAGAAAAGACCTTTGAGTTACATGCGCTCTATCCAACTCTATTTTCCCTATTTCCATCAGACATGGGTGCCAGGGTTGTTCGAGGTCCATGTCCTGAGACATCCTTGATAAAATGGTAACAGTGTGTTTGACTTTTAAGCGTATCGTTAAAAAGCAGAATTGAGCCTTGTGACATCCCACATGTGACGGCTGCTGAGCAAGAGCACAGGCTGTCATTCATGAGGAAGAAGGTGTTAAAATACAAGCAATGAAGCAGGCTTCCAGAGCTAAAAGCATTCAATTAAAGATGGAAAATAAAAGCTGTCAAAGGCTGCGCTGAGGTCTAAGAGGATTAATACGGAGCAAATCTCCTGCATTGGCTGCTTAAAGAAGGTTCTTAGTTGCCTTAAGTAGATCTGTTGCTGTGTATTGTGAAGTCAGAGAGAAGAAAGAATGAAGAGGTGCATAGAGAATGATAGGTAAATGATTAATTTCATACATATCACATTTTCAATATGATATTTAATACTGACTCTCAGACTGTAATTCCGATAAGGAGATTTGACACTGCTGTGTGAGTTGATTGCATTTGGTGTTTTATTAAATGTGCAAGTAAAAAAGCTGAAAAGCAATATTTGTACAGAAATGTTTATTTGTTCAACATGCCTTTCTAATCTGAAATGATTTCCAGTCTGAATATCCATTAAACATGCTATACCGAATAGAGCCCTTGTTTTTGACTATGTGGGACTGACACAGTTGCACCTTGTGTCTACAACTGATTTTCCTCTTATTTGTTGTACATCCATTGGCGCTGCGCTAGAAATATTTCAAACTGGTGCAGCTTTTTGTATCTTTTGGACCAGTTATCTTCAGGAATATAATGCAAATTGCCAAAAGCTCTTTATTAAGACAAAATTAGACTGTCGTTGGACAAGGCAACTGAGCGTTCTAGTGAGCTGTT